ATCTTTTAGCTAGCATTTGACTACTTTTAGCTTAACTGGTACTTTGCTGTTTTTATCTTTTAGCTAGCATTTGACTACTTTTAGCTCAACTGGTACTTTGCTGTTTGTATCTTTTAGCTAGCATTCGACTACTTTTAGCCTAATTAGTATTTTGCCATTTGTAGCTTTTAGGTAGCATTTGCGTACCGGTACTTTTTAGGTAGGATTTGCATTTTTTAACTTTTAGCTAGTGTTCTGCTGTTCTTATTGAGCAATTTACGACTTCTAGCTTTCAGCTAAGTTTCAGCGCTCAGCTTTCAGACATCAATATCACAAAAAATGTAGTTGCTCTAGTTTTGTCTTTACATTTTTTTGTATTTTCAGCTCCCTCGACTTCACCTTTACGTTAAAGAAAAAAGAATTCAAACTACTTTCCACCTAAATTATTTACCCATTGTCCTCCCTGTACAGCTCAAACATGTGGCAGGAGGCGTAGGGCGGCTGGATTCCGTTGAATACGTTCAAACTAGCCTGAAGCGCTGCTACGGTTGTGTCGTGCTGCGTAAGAGAGGCGTTTAGATGATCGTAAGACTTTTAGAGGAAAATAAATGTTCATAAGAAATGCTCAAGAACTAAACGGTTAGCTCACTGCTGAGAGCATCATAAGTTTGAGTTGCTGTGTTGGGTCTGGAACGGCCAAAAGGTTCTTCACGATGTCACCAAGCAGCAGACCTGAAAAAAACGGACACCACTTCTTCGTTAGACAGTTGTTTTTATAGACAGCTCTTTGATTGACCCCACTTAGAAGAAATAGTTCAGTTCTGACCAGACTGGCGAGCAGAAATTAAAAACGATATCTCCACATTGAAAAGCTCCTTAAATAAAACGCCAAACCAGTTACAAGCCGAGTCAGAGCGTTCACCCACCTCCCTGCAGACGACTCTTTTCTTCTTGCTCGTGGACCCCAAACATGATCTGCAAACACCAACACTCTGTTTTAGCACGTCCATACCAGAAATGCAAAGCAAGGCTGAAACTGCCAACGTTTACCTGGAACCCAAAGTCCTTTATGATCTTGAGCCCTTCCATGACGTCGGGAGTCACCCAGTCAGGAGCGGTCATGTTGTGACGGGACTGAAAAAACAGCCGAGACAGTCCAGCTTAGATTTAAAAAAAAAAGACATTTAAAAAAAAAAAAAAAAAAAAAGGTCAAACAGGTTAGGTTGACCCACTTTCTTTGTGTACATGTGATTTCATCTTCGCTGCCTCATCACACATAGCTGCTCATTGATTCTGTGGCTGAACCCGACGACCTGGCTACAAACGTCTGCGCATAAGTATGGACACCCCTGGACCAAGTGTCTGACACTCAGTAAGAGCACAACATTTGAAGCTAACGCACAGAAGATGACTCTCTTTTAATCGAACATTGAGGCAGCATGTCACTGAGCTCAGTGTTTCACTGGTGGTCACCAGCAGGCATTTCAAACGCGTCCCGTTTACTTCTCAACTTACAGGCGCCGGTCATAAAATTAGAATATCATGAAAAAGTTGATTTATTTCAGTAATTCCATTCAAAAAGTGAAACGTATTGTTCAAGAGTATGTTTTTCAATGAAATAATATTGAAGGTACATTGTGACCTTATAACATCTGACAGTGTCGCTTATAAAACAAAATCGGTATTGGCCAAAATCGGAATGTGCAGGTCAGACTTTTTAGAGATCGGAGATGGGCCAGAAAACTGTGATCGGTGCACCCCTAGAAAAAAAGTGTACAAGCAATAGGGATAACCGCACCCAGGAGAGGATGGTGAAACAAAACCCATTCCAAAATGTGGGGGAGATTCACAAAGAGTGGACTGCAGCTGGAGTCGGTGCTTCACGGACCACCACGCACAGACGTATGCAAGACACGTTATATGTTCTCTGAAAATAAATTTTGCATTTCCTTTGGAAATCAAGGTCTCAGAGTCTGGAGGAAGAGAGGAGAGGCACAGAATCCACATTGCTTGAGGTCCAGTGTCAAGTTTCCGCAGTCATTGATGGTTTGGGGTGCCATGTCAACTGCTGGTGTTGGTCCACTGTGTTTTCTGAGGTTCAAGGTCAACGCAGTCGTCTATCAGAAAGTTTTAGAGACTTCATGCTTCCTGCTGCTGACCATCTTTATGGAGATTACATTTTCCAACAGGACTTGGCACCTGCACACAGTGCTAAAGCTACCAGTACCTAGTTTAAGGACCATGGTATCTCTGTTCTTAACTGGTCAGTAAACTCACCTGACCTTAACCCCATAAAAAATCTATTGTGAAGAGGAAGATGTGATGCACCAGAGCCAACAATTCAGAAGAGCTGAAGGCCACGATCAGAACAACCTGGACTCTCAGAACACCTGAGCAGTTCCACAGACTGATCCACTCCATGCCACGACGCATTGCTGCAGTGATCCAGACAAAAGGAGCAACAACTAAGTACTGATGCTGTACATGCTCATACTTTTCAGTTGGACAACATTTCTAAAAATACTTTTTTATTATTGGTCTTAAGTAATATTCTAATTTTCTGAGATACTGAATTTGGGGTTTTCATTAGTTGTCAGTTATAATCATCAACATTAAAATAAATAAAAATTTGAAATATATCAGTCTGTGTGTAACGAATGAATATAATATACAAGTTTCACTTTTTGAATGGAATTACTGAAATAAATCAACTTTTTCATGATATTCTCATTTTATAACATGTAGTTCCAAAAGTCGGAACGTGCACGTGACTAAAATGGCGCAACTAAATTTGCCTGAAGTTCACAGGGACGTTGATCAAATAATTTGTTAGCGGTTATGCAAGTTGCAAACATGTCATAGATACGAATTTAACTAAATAAAAATATGTGCATTTCTCGCAATTTCGTGTTGGCATCTAGTCGCTGATGGTCGCTTCATGAAAAACAAGCTCTACAGTTCCGGTTCGCCTGAAAGCTTGGTGTTTAATCTGACCGCCTCAGTCTGTTTGGATCTGATTTCTGGTAGAACAAACGATTGGTCAGCAAAATATCTAGGCCCATTATTAAGATCCGTTTTTCTTCCGGACGTTTGTCGGCACGCAACTCATTCTGTTATTTTTGTGCTATTCAAACAGTTCATACGTTAAAACGTTTGGCTCATTCAGGACGTTCCAGCGGCCCTGTGATGGACTGGAGACCTGTCCAGGGTGTACCCCGCCCCTGGCACAGTGATTGTTGGACATGGGCACCGGCAACCCCCGTGACCCAAAATGGAAGAAGCGGGTAAAAGATAATGGATGGATGGATGGGTAAAAGATAATGGATGGATGGATGGGTAAAAGATAATGGATGGATGGATGGATGGATGGATGGGTAAAAGATAATGGATGGATGGAGGACGTTCCAGCTACGATGTTTGGTATTCGTGCATTTTTTACTTTGAGATATTTACCTTTTTCCGCCATGTGTTTCTCATTGATGGAGCTCTCATCCTTCAAACTCTTTGTGCCGTTAAAACTCTTTTTCTGTTCATTTCAGATTTTTTCTGCTTATTTCTGCTATTTTTCTGCCTGTTTGCCTTGTTCAACTACTTTGAGCTTTTGTTTTAGCTTTTTTGAGCTGCTTTACGCTCATCTCAGCTATTTTTCTGCTTTTTTTTTTTTACCTTGTTCAGCTACCTTTAGCTTTTAGTTCTTTTTTCAGCTTCTTTATGCTCCTTTCAACCATTTATCTGCTTCTTTGTACTTTGTTCAGATAATTAGCTTTTTATGCTCTTTTTAGCTATTTTTCTGCTTATTTTTGCGTTCAGCTAATTTTAGCTTTTTTTGGTTCTTTTTAGCTTCTTTATGCTCTTTTTATGCTTCTTTTTGCTTTGTTCAGCTAATTTTAGCTTTTTCTTCTTGTTTAGCTTCTTTATGTTCTTTTTAGCTATTTTCCTGCTTCTTAGCTTTGTTCAGCTAAATTTTTTTTAGCTTTTTTGTTCTTTTTTGTTTTTTTTATCTTTTTTTAGCTATTTTTCTGCTCATTTTTGCTTTGTTCAGCTAATATGAGCTTTTTTGTTGTTTTAACTTCTTTACACTCTTTTTAGCGCTTAGTTTTTATTTGCTTTGTTCAGCTAGTTTTAGCTTTTTGTTCTTGTTTAGCTTCTTTATGCCCTTTTTAGCTATTGCTTCATTTAGCTTTGTCCAGCTAATTTTAGCTTTTTTTTTATCTTTTTCAGCATCTTTCTTCTAAAGACAGCTTTTTATGCATCTTTCGGCCACTAAAGTAATTTTTCTACCATTTGTTTTTACTCATTTCCACCTTTTGTGATTTTTTTGTTCCTTTTAGCCTCTTTTGCTAATTTCAGATTTTTTTGTCAACCATTCAACCTCTCTCTGCCCATTTCAGATTATTCTTGGCTTTTCTGATTTATTCAGCTTTTTTTTCTTTTTTTTTTTTTTACACATTTCTGCAGTTTTTCTGCTGCTTCAGCGAATGTCAGCTGTTCAAATTCAACTCGCATCAACAGTTTAGCTACTAAACATTTTCAGCTGCTTTCAGCAACAAGCATTCACGCTGCATTTTGCAGGACATGCTAATTTTTCCTAATTTTCTTCTTTAATTTTTCTAAGCCAAACTTTACATACCAAGGCTTTAACAACACTAAAGACAATTAACAGACGGGACAGAACTGTGTTACTTGGGACACAAAACACAGAATGACAGGGGTACATTTTTTACCTCAACACCGGAAAATCTTAAAGGAAATACAGTATACCAAAAAAATATTTAACTTTCTGTAGAATGACGTCTTAACTACCAGAAAGAAAATAGCCTGGCTTCGTTTTTTTGTCTAACCTGACCTGCGAGGCCTCAATCGCTTTTATCTGATGGATTATTTTCATAAAATAAAAATAAAAACCTTAAGGAGTTTTACTTTATACGTTATCAGCCTGCAGGACTGCTACATTTTAGCAGAGGGCTCAGGAAAGATTTTCTTCTGACTTTTTCATAATGGTCATTTCGTGCAAATGTATTCCGTATTTATCGACGCAAGTCTTTTCAAGGGGATTTTTACAGCTCACTTGTGTTTATTGACCAACGCTGAAAGAGCTGAGTGAAGGAAAACACAGATAGGAAACTTGCTGAAACAGCATTTTTTTTTGCCTAAATGTTTCTGAAAACTGAGTGCGGCGAAATCACAAGGTTCAAAACAAACAAGCAGAAATATAATCTGTTACGAGGACGACACTGTGGTGTTCTGGTCCACTCCTCGTGAGCAAACCGCTCCAGCTGTCTCAGGTTTGAAGGGTTCCTTCTCCAGATGTTTCAGCTTTTTTCACAGATGTTCAACAGCATTTTGAGTCCTTACCCTGTTGGAGGACCCATGATCTGACTGAGCTTTCTGACTCTGGGAAGCACATTTGACTCCAGAATGCCTTGATAGTCTTGAGGTTTCATTGTACTCAACACCAATGGTACCCAACCCTGGTCCTTGAGGAACACCATTCTGCATGTTTTAAGTGTTCCCTGCTTTGGCACACCTGATTTGAAAGAACGGATAACAGACTTCGGCAGAACTTGAAGTAATTAAATCCCTGAATCTGGTGTGTTGGAGCAGAGAAACAACTAAAACATGCAGGATGGTGTTCCTCAAGGACCAGTGCTGGGAACCACTGGCCTACACAGGTTCAAATCCAATTTGAATAGGAATTTAAATCACAGATTCAAATTCAAATCCTGCCCCAGATCCAGAACAGAACGGGGCCTCCTACGTGCATACTTGCCAACTCACAATGGATGAAAAAGGTGACAAACCTAGCACTCGTAGTTGTGGGGCGGGGGGGGGGGGCATGGTTTCTGTCCCCCCACCTTGAAGATTTTGTCATTTTTAACATGTAAATTAAACATTCTGGTATACTCCAAGAAGAAAAGTAGGGGAAAGACAACATGCTTCAGGTAAAAAAGACATTTACCAACATATCCTAATTTAATGAGGACATGCATAGGAAAGATGGCTAGTTAACCAAAAAGTAAAAAATAAACTAGCAACAACAGCAGCGAGCCAACCAGAGAAACCAAATATAGCAGAGCATTTTGCTAATGGCAAAAGCTCATTTCTTAAATACGTAGTGCTAAGCCAGCGGTGCACAATACAGACGTGCTAGCTAAGATACTATGCGTAGCGCTACGTTTCTGTAATGCATTTTAACTCCCAGATCCAGTCAATAACTCCTGGCACACATAGCGCTTACAAGCTAACGCGAGCTTTGTTGCGAGCACAGGTTGCGAGCTAGCTAGCGTGATTTATGTAGAGCTAGCTTAGTGCTACGTTAAGTCCAGTCAGTGGGAAATTATGCCATCTACCACGCTGACACCACACCACCACCAGCCTCGCAAAAAAAACCTATTCAGATCTAGATGATTTGCGTAAATGACGTATTTTTGATAGAAATCTGCAATTTTTGCCGAAAAGCGTTACGTTTGCAGGTATGTACATATTTCACTGTAGGTACATTGTCTAGAACATTGACCTGATGGGACTTGTCAAAAAGCGCCGGAATTATCTCATCTGTCCAAAGGACGTTCTTCTACAACTTTGCATCTTCCCGGTACATATTTTGGCAAATTCCAGTCTGGCTTTTCTTCTGATTTGGTGCCCTCCTTGGTTCTCTTCCATTAAGTCCACTTTGTCTCAAACAGAGACCGATGGTGAGTTCTGACACTGATGATCCTTGACCTCAGAGTTCACCTCTAATCTTTTGAAGTTGTTCTGGACTCTTTGCGTACCATTCGTATTATCTGTCTCTTTAATGTCTTATTAGATTTCCTCTTGTGGACACATCCAGGGAGGTTCTCACAAGTCCTGTGGACCATAATGTTGTTGCTGTTGTCCATTGTTGTCATCTTTCTTTGTTGAAATCAGGTCTCTCTTGTAAATGAGTCCTCGAGGCTCAATGGGATTTACCTGTATAAATAAATAAAGGTTGATTGATAATCTGTGCAGCTGTAGCCACGGGACCATCAAGCTGCTTGAAGATGGTCTTATAGTCTATAACATGTTATCAATAATCTACTTTTTAAGCTCCCGAGACAACTCTGTCCTCAGCTTTCCATCCATCCATTATCTTCCGCTTGTTCCGAAGTCGGGTCGCGGGGGCAGCACCTTGAGCAAGGAAGCCCAGACATCTCTTTCCACAGCCACTTCTTCCAGCTCTTCTGGGGGGACTCCAAGGCATTCCCAGGCCAACCGAGAGACATAGTCTCTCCAGTGTGTCCTGGGTCTTCCCTGGGGTCTCCACCCAGTCGGACATGCCCAAAGCACCTCCCTAGGGAGGCATCCAGGGAGCATCCTTAGCAGATGCCCAAACCTCCTCAGCTTTCTGCGGTCCATATTCAGCGTGTTACACCATGATACCAAACAGCTCTGTGACTACCTATTGAACATGCAGACTGACTAAATATGCATTACTTCAGTCAGTTTTCTCACCTCGCAGAAGAGCGTGTCGTACACGCTCCACACCGTTTCCACGTTTTTCAGTCCCGTTTTATTGTTCACCAGCTCAATGAGGTCCTAAAAAAAATAAAAACAAGACTTTTAATTTGTTAAAGAAACAGAATTATTTAAAACTGATTTAAATTAATGTTCAGAACTGGCACCTTGTATGTTGTGGTAATATTAATATACTCTCCACTGTGTTCAGTTTCATTCATCAGCTGCTTGTAGCGAGGACAGTCTTCCAAAGGAAACGAGAGGAGCTTTAACAAAGAAAAAAAAGGGGAAATTATTACGCAAACAACTAAATTTGTAGCCAGAATACCTAAAAATAATAATTTTGTTAGTAGCCAACCCTCTCTTCGCTCAGCGGCACCGTGTGCACGGGAATGGGCTGCCACACCAGGTTGGGTCTGAACTCCTGTTGACCTTCGGGGGGGTAGAGACCTGGAGAAAGACACGAGTTAGGTCGTGGAAGAGGAGTACTTGGAACATAAATGGGTAGAAGAACGATAAGAGGTGCTCAGACCTGCGAGGTTGGCCTCGGCACTCATCAGAGTGCGATCCACGTCTGTACTTCGAACGAAGATCTGGGGAAAACGTGATTAAAAGACTAAAAATAAAGCCTGGTCAGGAGGAGTGTGGCTGTACCAACAGAGAATTCAAACATTAGCTTTAGTCCACGTCAAATGTAACAGATTACGTGGCTCGTGACCTAAAAACCGAAAAAGGTGAAGCGATCTCTGACCTCGTGCCGGTTGTAGGACTCGTTGAGGAAGTTCTTGTATCGAGACCTCAGAAACTGACCCAACTCGAAGTGCTGCCTCATCCCCTCCTGGGGACACAAATCATGAAGACACGTGAAAAACTTCAGCTGATGTGAAAGTGAACTCACGCAGGTTTTGGGCCGGACTTCAAAACTGAAAATCAAACGTAAAGTTGACCTATTTGGGTTCTCCTGAGGTCGAGGCCAAAGACGAACTTAAGGAATCAGGACTGCTGATGGCCGATTTGTAAAGCTATTTTTTGTTGTTGGCTAAAACCAGCTCCCTGTGCATAATAATGTGTAAAAGGAAAATCTAAAAGTAGGGAAAAAAATCTCTTAAAAAAAGAGACAGCTCAGACTGAGGGAATCGGAACGCTACCTATAGCTGTTTGGATATATTGTGCACCGCTAGCTTAGCACTATGTCAGTGCCAGAAAGCAGTTGTCAATGGCAAGGGGTGCACAGAGCATGTGAGTGGTGACTCCCCTGCATGCACAGAGCATGTGGGTGGTGACTCCCCTGCATGTGCAGAGCATGTGAGTGGTGACTCCCCTGCATGCACAGAGCATGTGAGTGGTGACTCCCCTGCATGCACAGAGCATGTGAGTGGTGACTCCCCTGCATGTGCAGAGCATGTGAGTGGTGACTCCCCTGCATGCGCAGAGCATGTGAGTGGTGACTCCCCTGCATGCACAGAGCATGTGGGTGGTGACTCCCCTGCATGTGCACAGCATGTGAGTGAGGACTCCCCTGCATGCACAGATCATGTGAGCAGGGACTCCCCTGCATGCGCGGATCATGTGAGGGGGGACTCCACTGCATGCGCAGATCATGTAAGGGGGGACTCTCCTTGTATGCGCAGAGCAACTTTTGTTCCACTGCCAGTGGATCATGACAGCGTAGCAGGACAGCACAAGTTTGCGCAGGAGGAAGGTGAAGCTAGCGATCAATGACTTCCTGTTAGGCTACTTTTTTTTTTAACCAGCCGTGTTACTGTCACTGTTTAGAAAAATAAAAAAATTAAAAAATTACTGTACGTATTTGTGTATGTTATGTATTTAATAAAAGTGTAAAAAAAATCATATGTGACAACGTGGACACCCGCGGCTTAAAAACAAATGCGGCCTATATATTTACAAAAGTTAAAAAAAAAATGTATTTAGTGGGTGCGGCTTATATTTGGGTGCACTCAATAGTCCGTAAATTACCATAATTTTGATGATTAGAGCTTATAAATAAAGAAAAACTAAAATGAACACTAAATTTTGTTTTTTTGTCATCTGTAAGCCATAATCATTCAAATTACATGAAAAAAAGGCTTGCCATAATTCACTCTGTGTGTAACGGATCTGTAATATGAGTTTCCCTTTCTGAAAAAAAAATAAAATTAACTTTTCTCGATATTCTTATTTTTGGATTTGCACCTGCAGTCTTTGAAAATGTTTTTAAAAATTACATTAGAATACAGAAATAGTACTAGGACAAGTTGTGCAGGAAGTACATGTACACAAAAATAACTCAGAGGCAGGCACATCTGTGAACCGACAGAAAAGAAGTTTAGCCCTTGGAAGGTCTCGAGAGGCAAAAACAGTTCTTGTTGTTCCTTTATCATTTCTGTGTTGTCAATTACCACAATCATTCCTGACAAAGTCTGAAAAGCCTAAAATTATTGTGCTTCGTCAGAATTGTTTCAGCTGCTGCCATAACATCACAGTACCCCCCCCCATTGGTTCTTACGAAAGAATTTACCATATTGAAATCCATTATAAATGCATTTTTATCCCATATAATAATAATAATAATAATAATGTCATCACAATGTCAGCACTGTATGTTTCCATACAATGGCGAAATTAGTCTCTGCATTTAACCCATCCACCACCAGGTGGTGCAGTGGGCAGCTATTGAAAGCGCCCGGGGGGCATTTTGGGGATGAGGCGTGCTGCCCAGAGACGCCACGTGATGTGCAGTGACTGGGGATCGAACCTGGAACTTTCGGGTCCCAAGCCGGCTGCCCTGCCTCTACACCATCTCGGCCCCCATTTTATACATTATAAAATAAAGCATTCCTTTCTATAATGTATTTTTATTTTATTTCTTCTAATATTTTTATTCCACCAGTAGTTGATGCTCTGCTTTTACGTTCAAGGGACACTGTAAAAATCTCCGACGTGGGCCTGAAACTGGCCCTGAAGAGGTGTCTGGACACTGTTGTGGTGTCCGGTCTCTCATTTCGTCCAACAAAACTGTCTTAGTTTGGACGCGAAGAGCAAAAACAAACTTGCACGAGTAAACATTTCGTACAAAACAGAGCCACATGCATGCGACTGAAAAGTTGGACTCTCCAGGGCAGAATATGGCGGACTCCCATTGGTTCGACCGTTAGCGTGGCACTGTTGGCGGACCATACCGCAGCAGGTGGTCTATCCAATTCAGTAAAAGTGAACAACTTAAGCACACAAAGGTGTGCACCGGTACAGTTTTAGAAAAAATATTAGTAGTAGTAGTAAGTTTCTTTCGGCTTCTCCATTCTTCAGGAGTCGCCACTGCGAGTGAACTCGCACAAAAGATTTTGATATTTGTTTCACACCGGAACCAGGGCTCGAACCTACAGCCTCAGGATTACAAGACCACGGCACTGACCGCCAAGCTACCACAGCCAATAACGATTATTAAAAATATCAATAAAAAACATAATAGAAAAACAAACTTCCAAGTTCAACCATGAAGTTTGACCGTTTGGCCTTTAGGGAGATGAAATTTTGAAGTAACTTAAATTTGATTTTTTTTTATTTCAGGCTGAAAAAGTGCTAAAATAAAGTTTGTATTTTTAAACAAAGCCACTTATTGTCTTGAAGTTAAAAGCAACAACTCCAACGGTCCTACCTGCGACAGCTGTCCAAAGCCTTGGGGCCAGGCACTCTCTTGGTGGGGGTCCGTAGGAAAGGCCTTGATTGGCGATCTGTCCCCATGCCGAAATAACTGAAGCGGTAGAGAAACAAAGCTTCAAATGACAATAATTATAACAATAATTTAAAAAAAATTAATACCCAACAGTTATAAAACTGACTATTCTGGATCATCTGCAGAATTATGGTTAATACGTTTAAATAAATCAAAAATACAGTTTCTGTAACGTCCGACACCAACTTGCATCGCTATGCCGACGATACAGTTGTTTATTGTCGAGCTAAAACAGTTGCTAAGGTTGTCCGGCTTCTACGGTCTGCGTTTGACATCATCCAGTCAGGCTTGGTCCATTTCAAACTGGTGTTAAATGCTGATAAAACCAAAGGGATGCTGATGAAGTTAGGCCTGTCTCGATAAAAAAATTTGCTGGGCGATTAATTGTCTCAGAAATTATTACGATAAACGATAATATTGTTTGAAATTTAACAATAATTAATTGTCAAATTTTAGAAGAAATGTTGATTTGTTTGGGAATGTAGTACCTATTTTGACCATCTGATGGCAGTATAAGACTGTTTTAACCAAAGGATGGATGGTTGTGCAGCGTGTCTCTTTAAGAAAAATGGGAGGGAGGGTCCTTGACGTGACATGGGCTGACATGGCAAACGCTCGGTGATGTGAGCTCTTTAGCATTTTTCAGAAAGCTTTTAATAAAATTTGAAAAAAATCAGTAAACAAGTTCTCAGCTTCTTCTTGCAGAGAAAAACAACTTTTGGGTTTCAACCGTGAATTTTGGAGTTTGACAAGACGGAGGTTTATTGCTGAGGTCGGCCTGTTAGCTTAGCTCGTAGCTTAGCTGTTTTTAACAATTTATAAACGCGATTTTGGACGGTTAAAACATGTTTTAAAGAGAAAAGAGAAAGGGAGGGGTCAGTGAGGAGCACCGTTGTTGAGCCTTTTGTCATCCAGCGTCTTCAGTAGAAAGAGACACGAAGAAACGATAAAGCCGATAAATTAAAATGAGGTCGATAATTTTCATTTATCGTTCGATTAATTGATTTATTGTTTATCGCGACAGGCCTAGCCTCATGTCGAAAACTTGATAAAGAAAATGAAATTAAAACTGGGTTTCTTTTTCAGAAACAGATCTTGCTCAACTTTGAACGCCAGGAAACGCCTTGTAACCGCTACTTTCCTATCGGCCATTGACTAAGGTGACATTATTTACATGAACGCCCCTGGCTGTACCCTGCAGATGTTGGATGCTGCCTACCATGGCGCGGTAAGATTCATAACTGGTTGTAGCTACTGTACCCATCGCTGCACTCACTGGTCATCATTAACTTCACGCTGGCTCTCACACTGGTACATTTTCATCTATAAATCACTCCTTGGTCTGCTGCCTTCATACATCTCCTCCTACATGTCACGTCGTGAGTGCAGTTACGGCGTGCGCTCTCAGGACATCATTACCTGCAGCGTTCCCTCAGTGCGAAATGAACTTGGCAAAAAGGCCTTTTCCTACTCAGCTGTTTCCTGGAACACCTTGCAACAGGAACTGAAGCTATCCACTTCGACCTCTTTGTGGGATTTTAAACATTTGATAAGTTCAATAGAAAAATCAAAGCAAACGTTCACGTTTTTATTTTACCTTGTTTTATATGGCCCCTTATTTGCATTTTATTGTTGTGTACCTGATCTGTGGTTTTGTTTAAAACAGGTCTCTCTTGTAAATGAGTCCTCGTGGCTCAGTGAGACTAACCTGGATAAATAAAGGTTGAAAAAAAACAATACAGTTTTTGTAACTTCAGCAAACGCAGCTTCCCTAAAATCTACTTCAGCTTTCGTCGGCTGTTCTACCATCCAGACACTTGACGCAGACGACTTCTGCAAACATTAGACAAACTAAAACCTTTCACCAGCCATCGGGTCAGGTAGTTACAGCACCGGATTCTCTGAACCCCCTGCGGACAAAAGCCAAAACCAGTTTAAACCGGTCAGACGTCAGCCCCGAAACTATTCCGACAGTAAAACTGAGTCTTCCTAAGACGGCGTTTTTGGACAACACTTCTTCAAAAACAACAAAGTCCATGCTCAATAATCCAGGTATAAAATCCAACATTTTTCAGTCAGGTCATCTGGACAGTTTCTTTTTTTTGTGCTGAAACGTTTCGTCTTCGATCCGGAAGGCTCCTCCTCCACCATAACCCTCAGCACTATCTCTCCTCAGGGCTGTGTGTTGAGCCCCCTCCTGTTCACTTTGCTCACATATGACTGCGCACGGAGCCATTCAGGCTGTCATAATGTAAAGTCAAGGTGGAACACCTGGAGAGCTGGTGCAGGAAGAACCACCTCATAAACCCCCTAACCAGGAAAATCAACGCAATTAAAAAATTTTTTAAAAAATCACAGTAATGCCACTTTAATTGGTGATATGTGTCACGTTATCTGTGCTGCTGATTACCCATGCTGCTGATTTCTTGCCTTTAAGCTACTGTATTCATACCCATCTGCTCACAACAAACTCACGTTCACGCTGCTGTTTAATATACTGTATTATTTTACATTATTATAGTTTAACGTGCATCTTAGATCCTTGTATACTGCTTCTTTTTTCTACTTTATTTTTTTTATATATTTGGGTATAACTGGGAACTTGGGTACACAATTTCATTCCAACTTATGTACATGAGATGCAAATGACAATGGACCTAAACAGAACGTCTCTACAACGCAGAAGGTTCTGCTGCAGCTAATGCTGCGTTTCAGCTGTCAGCAGTCGTATCAGTGCGCTAAAACCAGCCGAATGTGTCCGCAGGGCAGAAAATCTGACGCCCCAAACGAGACTCCATCGGAGGTGGCTGTTCTGACCGCTGGACATGTTCCGATCCGCTTGATGAACGGTACCGCCCCCATAACAGTAAATAAGTAAAAACTGAGAACAAAATCACTTTAAATGATTTTAAATCCATTTAAAATGGTCAAAATAGTTGAGAAATACACGGAACAAAACGATACACAGCAAGCTCAGTGATAATATTTTGCGTTATATATTACAAACTAGCTAGGCCTGTCACGATAACAAATTTTGCTGAGCGATTAATTGTCCAGAAATTATTGCGATAAACGATAATATTGTTTGAAATTTGACATTTAGTCATTCTTGTCAAATTTAAGAAGAAATTATGGTTAAATTTGAGTGTAGTACCTCTTTTTGACCACTGGGTGGCAGTATAAGACTGTTTGAACTGATGGATGGATAGTGAGGGAGTGAGCAGCGTGCCAGCTGAAGTTTTTTCCCCAGAGGTCGCCAAGTTAGCTTAGCTCGTAGCTTAACTTCTCAACTCATCTGCTTTTAAACGATCCAAAAATGCAATTTTTGATGGTTAAAATGGATCTTAAAGAGAAAAGAGAAAGGGAGGAGTCGGTGAAGAGCACCGGAGTTGAGACTTGTCATCCAGTGTCTTCAGTAGAAAGAGAGACACGAAGAAACGATAAAGCCGATAAATGAAAATGAGGTTGATAATTTTCATTTATCATACGATTAATTGATTTATCGTTTATTGCGACAGGCCTACGTGGAACTACTTTGTGGAGATTTTTTCTTTTCTTTCGCTAATGGACTAACTGGTTACACTGGAAATATTTTAACATGACAGCAATCCACTTTAGCCCCTCGCTCGTCAATCTAATTAAAAATTATCTTTGTTCCCCCAAACTGACGTTGTTTAAAGCACTGGTTCTCTAACTAGGGTTCCCACATCCGCCCCCACTCGGTGCTTGGGGGTCCGCAAAAAAAAAAAAAAAAAAAAAAGGTTTTATTTTAACAAGCACATAGTTGTTTAACAACTTGTTAAAATACACAAAAATGCAGGAAATCACATCTACTTTATTCAGATTTTTTGGGGGAGGACCCCTGGCCCCGCCCACTATTTGTGTTCCAGCATCGATCATTTACAAATGAAGTCCTGTTACTTGGTCTGACCGCTGCTGTTCTGATTCTGTTCCGTTTTTTGAGTTTTCTGGAATAATTTAACGAAGTGGCGATACATTTATTAGGTTCATCGTGTGAATGGGTAAAGTTTTAAAGTGGGTTTTTTTATTCTGTTAATTATTTATGTTATACAAATATTTCCAGTGCGTTAAAGAGACAATTTGAAGACAATTATTTAATAAACATGAGGGTTATGAGGGGGTCCATGATACGTTTTCTCCTCTGTAAGGGGTCCCAGAACGCAAAAAGTTTGAGAACCCCTGGTTTAAAGAGATATCTAAGACAGGTAAGACGGTTATTGTTTGCTCCCAACCTTTCCACGGAACCCTGTTTCCAAACGTCTGAACCGTCACTTTAATGGTCAACATAAACTTGAGGATCCCGTTTCACTTCTCAAGTTACTAAAGAGAAGTGCCGCCTTCTGGTTTTCTTGCGACGCGATTGACTGATGAGTCCATAACAGTCCAAAAATTAAAAAATAGAAAGTGTGTGAACTCTTTTTTTTGTGGGGTGGATTATCTCTTAATCTTACCTGCTGCAGGAGCATTAGTGGTGAACTAGTTGAGCTCCGCTTTAAGAACTTCTCTCTAAAACCACCAAGTGTTTCCAACTCTCGCACCCTATGATCCTCGGGAATAGAAATAAAACGTAAGCTTGACTCAAGTCGAAGCTAACCTCAATAAACGCAATAATTAGATTTTTAGTCTTTAAAAAAAAAAGTTCTTTTTGTTGACTTGAACGCGTCATTAGTTTGCATTTCTTCGGTTTATCTCATTACATGCACACACAAAACAAGAAGAGATGAAGGTTAAAGTGCTGCTTTTATGCAAAAAAAGGCACAGATCAACTCCAACTGATCCCTGCAGCCGGGTCCAGCTCAACTGGACCAGAAACTTGTTCTTGCTTTCAAAATGCTGTCAGGTCTGTTGCATATGACGCAACACTGTTTGCAGAGTTCATCTCGTTCATTTTAACTTTGTTTACTAGATATTATATATGAATTTTATATACCACTTCATCCTAAATGGCAGAAATAGGTTCATTTTAGTGAAAGCGTGAATTTGGTTTATTAATTGTAGCTTACAAATAATTTCATCTTTAATGTTACTTTTATGCCGAATTCACTACAGCAACTCAAACATTTAGGAAAACTTGAAATCGTAATCAGACGTGCAAATGCGTTTTCATAGGAACAAAGTACAAATTCGATATTTTGAATGTAGTTTTGCGAGCAGCTTAAACCGAATATTAAACACATTATTGAGTAATTTGTAAGCCGAATTCAATATTTCACCTTCATATTTAAGAGTCTTGATTTGTAGCTATAAAAACAAATACGTTTGCATGTAAGCAAAGAAAACGTTTATTCTCCTAAATTTTGAATGTAGTTTTGCGAGCAGCTTAAACCGAATATTAAACATATTAAAAACATATTCTTAAGTAATTTGTAAGCCGAATGCAATATTTCACCTTCATATTTAAGAGTCTTGATTTGCGTCTATAAAAACAAACATGTTTGCATGTAAGCAAAGAAAACGTTTATTCTCCTAAATTTTGAATGTAGTCCCGCGAGCGTCTACTTGAGTCTTTGCAGCTTCCGTAGCGGAGGCTACTCACCACAGTCACGAACGCTAGCTTTCTTTCCGCAGCGGCTTGTCCGCAAACAGAGCCCACCGTGAGAAGAAGAAGCACCGAGGCAGGTTTCATGTCTCCTCCGGTCCGGTGACTCTTTGGCTCTGCTGCTCAAACAAACAGCTCGTTTGCGGTTTTTCTTCCTCTTCCTGTTTGGACGTCAAGTCTTCATGGCGCCGGAAGTTACAAAATAAAACACAAAACGTAGTCATGCAAAAAAGACAACAAAGGAATTTGAAATACATATATTAATTATTTATATATATATATATTTAAAATTTTTATGTATAAATATTTTATTCACTGGAGTTTTAACCAGAGCCCTATAAAGAGAGCCCTCTGTTTATAGGGCTCTGCTGCCACCTAGCGGACAGCTATTCAACCATTCGATGCGCCTAGCCAGTATTTCGCGATGCACTGTGGTCTTAGTAGGCAGCTCAGATCACAAACAGAACCATAGATATCATATAAAAGCTAGATACCGCATTGACCGTAGACCCGCCATCTTGGAACGGTCGCCCGCTCTACTCAGTGTAACCTGTTTGGCAGGCGCAATGAAGTATCTGCGCGTTTAATCCGTCATAGCTGATTACTAAACTTATTCTCACAATTTCTCCCTCTGTAAATCTTAGACGTACAGCCATTAAAGCTGAACACATGGTTCAGTGTCTTTAAATATTCTTGGTGGAGTTAACACTAATAAAATATTCTTATGACAAGTTTTGCAAAACTCACAGTCACTGATACTTTTATATTAATATCTATCTTTATATATATGTACATATCTCTATTACTTTTACTGTAGTTTATCGTTGTCATTGTTTACTGTTATTCTTGTCTGTACTTTATATGTTCTGTCTGGAGCAGGTCTCTTGAAAATGATACCTCGTGACTCAATGAGTCTTCCTGTATAAATAAAGGGTAAATGAAAAAATAAAAGTTTAAAATAGAAATACTCACATCATGAGGCTGAGGTTGTGTGTGTGACGTGCACGTTCCTGAGAGTGTGTGTGACGTGCACGTTCCTGAGGTTGTGTGTGTGACGTGCACGTTCCTGAGAGGCCACAGACAGAGCAGCTCCAGCTTTTGTTGAGTTCCTGTAGTCCTGCAGTTTTCAAGCTGAAATGAAAAAGCATCATGAATATGAACTTTACAGTCTCTAGTTACCTGTTCATATAAACACATGGAGGGGTCTCACCTTGTGACTCACAATAAAATATGTACATTTATGAACTCTAATGAACTTATAATGATGCTCCTACTCTCTGAAGGTGAACCGATGGTACCACACCATCTCTCAGTCGGACAGTCTGACCAGTTTGATCAAAATCCTCCAGTTTAAAATCCTCACTGCTCAGATGAATCCTCCTCAAAGATACTTCCTCCTCTTCCTCACATCTTGTTCTTTGGGAAACCTTCAAAATGAAAACAGGAGATTTGTGTCTACACAAAAACATTGTACAGAGGAGGTCAAGCTTATTTTATATTTCCTATATTCTCACTAGTTTTAATTTCTTTGAACTTAAACAAAACTCCAGTTCTGAAGCATATCTCTTGATAATGAACCAAAGCTACTGAAATAGTGAGTATGATTGTTAGCAAAATATTCTTGTCATCAGATCTCAGTCAGCTTCATTGCAGCTGAACACCGTGTTACACTGAACATCACATCAGCTGGTGGACATAAATACAGTACAGTAATATTATATTCACAAAATACTAACAATAATATGTTCATCTTACTGTGAAAAGTTATCCCCCGACACATGACGTCATCAGTCCGTCGATCTGAACAGAAATTAAAGCTGCAAGCAGCATTGAAGGCCCTCGCAGCAAAGCACCGCTCCCGCCTAACAGCTCCCGCGGAAGCTCCAGCGAATGCTCCCGTGCCTGTCCCGCGCCTGTCCCACACCTGTCCCGCACCCGTCCCACGCCTGTCCCGCACATGTCCCACGCCCGTCCCGTGTCCGTCCCGCACCTATCCCACACCCGTCCCGGGCCCGTCCCGCACCCTTTCACAAGGGTGCGCATTCGCTGAACCGTCGACATCACCTGCGACCGCGTGTGCTCCAGCGACGCCTCCCAATCGCCGTCGCAAACGCTCTCATGCCATTCTCGCAGGTGTCCAGCAGGGTGCGCGTCAGTGTTGCCAGGTGAGAAATGTTGGATTATCGTACTAGAGACATAAAATTATTGTATTTTGAGGGAAATTATCGTACACCCGTCATAACCAAAATAACAAATCTATTGATGCACTATAGTAGTGATGGGTCCGCTTCCAAACCGACTGCTTCTTCTTCTTTTCTTTTCCTGACTCAAGGGGCGGGTGCAGCGAACTATTCAGCCAATCATGGCCGTTGTTCTGAGGCAAACACATGCACGTCACTCGTAGGTAACATTTAGAAAAGCACGAATTGTTCATCTGTTTGCGGACACAGACGCCTTCAGGGTTCACAAAAAAACTCCGACAGACATTGCGACAGGCTGATGACAACCGATTACAAGCACACATTCACGGAATGGTCAAATGATCGTATATCCGGCCTTTTTTGGGATTATTGATCGTACATCGTACAGAGGGCAAAATTGTTGTACAAATATATATTTTTTAAATACCATATGGTTTTATGATTCAAAGCACTGAACAGAGAAATTTATATATAAAATAAGTGAACATAAGCATTCATATTTAAACATTAAAATGCAATATTATTTATCTTAGGACCACACTGTTTTGATATAAAATAAATGATATGATGTACCAGTGTGCTTTACTGCTTTGTTGCCATCTACTGGCTACAAAATGGTACTGTTCAATTTTTTTTTGGGTGAGAAAAATGAAAATGATCATATGTCAACTACAAAATTACTTTATAAATATGTGACAAAATCCATAAATGCTTTGTTCTATAAGTCATAGGGCCTGCAAAATGCCCCCCTTCAATAAAAAAGTAAGTTATACATCAAAAAGAATGATTTTCCTTCAAATTACATGTTTTAAAGAGTAAGTCAGTCTTGTATTGTGTTTTCTGTCAGTTTTCTGTTTAAATTTTAAATGCATACTTGTGTTTTTGCTTTGGTTATGTAGGGGAAAACTTTATTTAATCTTTCAGACATTTCTTCAGTGATGGTTAATTTTATTTCTTGTTACAAGTGAGAGTAATTGATTTGAATTGAATTGAAATTATATAGTTTCATATTGTAGTTAGTTAAAAAAAAAATACTTGGAAATCACTTTTTTTCCAGTCAGTGTTTTCATTCAGCTTTTCCTGTTTTGAATTCATTACAAATTCAGCCCCTTATCTGTTTCCTCGTCTCCTTTTGTGTAAAAATGGTCTTGTCGTAATTTAAAGCTACATGCATATTTATATGTTCTTCAGTACAGTATGTCTCGTCTTGATTGACATTTCAGATATGTATGTAGCATGGATGTAAATTAGTGCTTCTTGTGAAAATGACTGTTTAGATGGTTGCAATAAAGAGTTTATGTTCTTATCCAGTCTTGACATATTTGCCAAAGAAATGACAGTAAGATTGTTTGAACAAATTCTTTTTTTGTTTGTATAACCAATAAAATTCTGTTTTTTCCCAGTTTTAGTCAAAGCTTGCAAGATCCACTAAATAGGGGTTAAAACAGACAAGTTGCAGGTCCTTTATGTATTCTTAGTTCATGTCTCAGATCTTATAACTGTTTTATTTTCATTATTTTATGTAATGGGGTTTCCACTTTATATTAAACTTATTAAATATAAACAAAGGGTTACGTAAAAATAATTGGTTGAGAAATAGTTTACTTCAAGTATACATTTTACTAAGCATGAATGATTCGACTCTGATTTTTCTTTATTAGAAAAATGTTGCTTTGAGCATCTTCCTGTTTAATCGAGCTTTTATTTTGGTATTTCCTGTTCTATTTCGTGTAGGCTTCGCCCTTTAAGGCTGTCGCTAGTGGGTTTATCCCTACGCGCACAGCACTGAAACTTTAGTCCACGCCCACCTGCTGTGTGGGCCTCACCCCCCGGTCCGTATAAAATACGGTGAGACCGGGTAATCGGCTCCCAAATAGCTTTTTTTCAGCCATTTAGGAACTAGTGAGGCCCAGAGCTTAAAGGGCTGCGCCTATACTCATAGAATCTGGGGTTACAGTGCGTAACCAACGTTCTACTTCGTATAGGCTTCGCCCTTTAAGGCTGTCGCTAGTGGGTTAAAGGTGAAGCAGGATGTAGTCTATGCCTCACTGGGTCCACTCAGACACAACATGAAGCACCTGCTTGCACAAAAAAACATTTCATCACTCAGCCTTCTGTGTGTGTAATTGCGTGCTCCATGCGCAGGAGCGCACCGGAGAAGATCTCTGGTGAGGAAAAAAGGCTGAGATAGCAGACCTGCTGCTGTGAATAGGAACAACCAAGGATACGAATTGTAACAGTGTAACGATGAACAGAGCAGACCAACAGCCCCTCAGGATGAACCGGTTAATAACAATAAAATCATCAGTCATGAACTTGTGACTGATAATAAATATCTCACACTGCGACTGCATGCAGGCAGGCATGAGCTCAAAAGTGAGGCTCCATGAAACAAATAATTCTGTCAGAACCCTGAGAACAGAATGGGTCATGGAGAAAGTAGAAACATCACGTAGATAAAACGAATAATTGAACATGGCGATGACCAGGCAGCCGCCATACAAATATCCTCCACTGTCCTCCCTCCATACAGAGCCATGGAGGATAAAAACCCTCTGGTGGAATGTGCTCTGAGATTCTCTGGAGGATCCAGTCCAGATGAACTGTAAGGTTCAGAAATAGCCTCATACAACCAGTGTGAGAGGCGCTGGGTGGGTAGAGGACGTCCTGAAGAGCTGTCCCAGTAATGCACGAACA